ACCTTTTGTTTGATATTAATATAATTGAGCATGGTGTAGTAGAAATACAAAGTCTATAACCAGGCAAATCTTCAAAGTTAATGGCAACAGACTAAAGACATTCTATGAGGGCTTTGATGGAGGGGACTTAGAGAAGGTAGCCTTGGACAAGTCATGCTACAGAGTTAGAATGAGTATAGTCTAGCGAAAGACCTAAAAGAAAGGATGTTACATGGGAGGCAACTTTTACACACCGACAAAGAGCTCTCCCAAGACTGTTGCCAATCTCAATTTCACATAAAACTAATCGATGCCTTCCTCCCCTTCCAATACCCTCTTATTTAAACTAAGTGACTGACACACTACCCAGCTTCACCTACTTGTACCCTAGCAGTAAACACTTGTACCCTAGCTTGCTACAATTGACTTACTGACTATAATACCCGAGGTATAACAATACCCGTCCTCAAACTTTCACCTTGTCCTCAAGGTGGAAAGAAATGAAAATTTTGATTCAACAAGATTAATCAACGATTGGTGGTGCTTGTGGTGGTAGCAATGGCGGTGTTGGTTCCTGATGAATGTCGCCTAACCAACATCTCCTCATTGCCAAAGATGTTACAGAGTTTGATGACGAGATTCCTGCTATGTTAGCTAATACAAGTTTGTTTAATAGTGTGACCATGTCATATGCACCACCTTCAATCACAACGACTACTTTATGTCCCTCCTTCAGACCATTTCTTACTTGTATATTTGTGTCCTTCCCCAAAACGTATTAGGGTCCTGGAAACTGAATCCATATATCCGCAGAGCAGCTTCGAACAGAAAAAACACCAGATCCTTCATCGACCTATCAATCTTTTTTGCCTCCACCCTCTTCCTTGGCTTCTCCATAACAAGATTGTTAGGGTTTATCTACATTATCTTCCTGCTGGATATGTAATCCCTAAGAGTTAGTGCCTCCATTGTTCGCTCCATGTTAGACATGCACCCACACTCTCCGATCAACAAGCAGCAAAAGGAATTTTCAATTCCCACTATGGACACTAAAGAAGCTCCACCTGATGAATTTCCTCTACACAGTTTTGACTGGCCTCCTCATCTTCATCCACGTGTATCTTTCCACTTTAGAAACCCAAAACATCTAACAACTCTTTTTTGCTTACATTTGTGGCTGTTGGGATTGACTGCCTCATCAAATCTATAACCACAACCCTGCAACTTTCTTTATATTCAATACATTGAGGACAATGTATGAATTAAGTATGGGGGTGGGGTAGTTTACATGTTTTGCGTTATAAATGCTTTTTACGGGTAAATTTTTGCCATTTTTGCAAATTTTATGCTTAAATTGGGTCGTTTTGTCCGTGTTGATAATGTGTTAGCATTTTCTTAATGAGCTTAAATTGTTGAGGATGATGAGTTTGGATGCATATATAGCATGATAATACCACTTAGAGTAGATTCGTGGCAGTACACCGGTCATTCTACTCTTGCTAATCTTTTGAACAAGCTTAACAACGTGAGACTTTGAGCCTTTTAGACTACACATATAATTTTAGTCTCAACTTCATTTCTTGTGTGATTATGTCATGCTTAGTTATGTGCTTCTAGAACTTGGCTTGTCTCTCCTTAAGACTACATGATTTTTACATGCTAATAAATATGATGAAGGCCAACATTGCTTGTTTTTGTGGTAACCCATTAGCCTTGAGCCTATCCTTTTTGTTATGCTTACCCTCTTTGCACACCACTTTGAGCCTTAGCCTACTTCCTTTGTCACCTACATCATGAACCATCCAAACACAACTCACTCGACCAATAACTACTGGAAGGTTCCGGTATCTCCGTATGCTTGAAAATGAAACTATGATGTTGGGGGAAAAAAGAAAAAAAATGATGAAACTAAAATTATAAGGAAAAAAAAGTTTTATCGTAAAAGAAAGCACAAACAACCGAAAAGATGATAAGGTTGAGCATATGTGTACCATCTCTATTGCCTATGATCTAATGGGAATGTGCTTAAAGTCCCATATGTTGCTCAAAATTTCAAAGCTACCTAACCTGGTTCTCCATTGGATTCAAGGTCCTTAGTCACTCATTTCCTAAATATATCCCTACCTTACCCKAGCCTTGTTTTACACTACACCCATAAAGTCCTTTTGATTTACCTGCATGTATTATATCCAAGTAGCTAAGGGTGAGAGACTTTCCAAGCTTATGGTAGACACATGCTAACATAGTGACGGTTTGGGCGATATACTTTAATCCAAAAGTGAATTAAGTGTATTGTTTTGTTGATCCTATTCGTGAGAGTTCTCGAATTAGCTTGTGTTTTTTTGATTATGTATGACCTCTAATTGATGCTATGTTGCAAATCTCGAGCTTATGGCATGCTATGTGTGATGATGTTCTTGTTTGATTCATTTTTATCAGTATGTGCCAACTTAAGTTACTGTCAGGAGTGATAATGATCTAAGTGTGGGGGTGTTTGATAGACATTAGTACATACATATTTATATGTTAAATTATCCCTCAATTATTTAATCCAAGTTTAAATGGAACCCCACTAAACATTTTTTATGGACACTCTTGGTGTGCACCTAAGTCAAAAAAAGGACGAAAGCAAGGACTTAGGCAGCTTAGGTTAAAACCCAAAGTGTAGCCTATCCGCTGCCCAAATATGTCGAGTCCAAGACTCCAGCGTGCGCCAAATACAGTGAGCAAAAGATAGCACAATCAACCGCGCATGTCACTTACAAAACCCGCCCATGTCCCCGCGTGACTCACTGCACAATTTCCAGATCTGCGCACATGAACAAAGTCGCAGCCAATTGGGGGGGATCAGTCGAGAAGCATCCTAGCAAGAACCAAAGATGTTTTTGGAGGATTTTTGGAGTCAAATTTGGGGATTATTCTAGGATTTCACCATCGATTCTTCATCTTCACTTATTGCAACCATTGTAAGGGGTTGTTTGTTTTTAATAAAAAAGCTCTTAATGTCCTCTTAAGTCTGAATCGGTCAGACATAAGAGGATTCAATGTGTTTGTTTTTTTTTTCAATTAAGAGCTTAAAAGCTCTTATTAGGTCTGAAAATTTAAGTGGTTGCGAAACCTCTTATTACCTCTTATTTCAAATTGTCGCCTACCTACTCTGATCTCTTTGCGCTCGATTTCTCTAGATCAACTCTTCTGTCTTGATCTCTCATCTCTCAACTTTGTCCTGTCGATCCATATCAACTCTCGATCTCTCATCTTCAAACTTCAGATTTCAGACGCAAAAAACAAACAGTCTAACTGATTCAGATTTCAGACTTCAACACCACCTCTTAAAAATCAAAAGTGAATTCAGACTTCAGACTTCAGCATCTCTTAAAAAACAAACGCCACCTAAGTTTATTTCTAGTTCGATTAAGGGACATGAGTAGCTAAACCATCCGTTTATAGCGATGAGTTTGCAAGATATTTCGAGTTTGAATACGTTGAAACTCATTTTGGTTCTTAATATCAATAAATTTAAACTATGGAATTCTTGACTTCAATATTCTTCATCTTTGGTTGAATAAACTAAGTTGGATCCTTCTCCTTTTGAGGGTAACCGTGGGTCTCCGGGCCAGCTTACGCACCTCAACTAATCCCCTAGAAGACCACGAATGGCTTGGAGTCCTTGCAGGTGAACCTCCATGGCAACAAGGGCTTTGGCAGCGCCTGGATTCGAACCGCGGTAGATGAGATTTTCCACTGCATCCCCTAAGGCTTAAACATTGCGCCACAACCCAACTGGTTAGTTGGATCCTTCTCTTTATCTAACTTAAGTTTGGAATACTAGTTTCGAATTTGAATTTGTAAGCGTTCTTAGCTTAGTCATAGTAACGATCGTTACTTCAATTTACATTTGTGTTAGTTGATGGTGGTGTAGGATTACATAGTCTAATCTAAATGATCGGCTTCCGATTGTTGGTTAGATTTGGTATTTGTTTGATTCTAAATTCGTAATGCAATCTGTAATTAGTTATTAACTAATTAGAGACCAATCATCGAGCTTCTCGCGCTAGACATGATTTAAGAACAAATGGAACATTCATGTGTATCGATGTTCAAACCATTTTGACTTCCGTATGACAAAAACATTCATTTGAATGAGCTAATGATGCATTATCCAAAAGAACGGTCGGCTTACACTCATTGCTAGATTTCACCTTGGTATTGTTTATAATCTCAATTTACTTGCATATTTAGGATAATTATTAATCATCTAACCTCCCCCTTATTTAATGTTTTCAACACACTTGCACGCTACTACGTCTTGGACTCACGGTTGACACCGAGTCCCTGAGAAGACAACTCTACTTATCGCTATCACATTTTTTGTGTATTAGAGGTAATAAGATTCATTATTATACTTTATTATTCGCCAGACTCGACCACTACCTCTTCTAGTGACCACTTAGTTTTCAAGAAAATTGATGAAATTGATTAACAATATTGCCAAAGCTCACGGAGGCGTATCCGTATTTGGGGCACTTAGGCATGAAGCAACCCCACTACTTCAATTAGCACTAATTTATGAGCTAAGAGTTCCAAAAAGTTAGTAGAACTAACCGGCTACACGGGGTTTTACATTAATCGAATTAAAAATTATGTGGCATGTAGAAAAATATCTAGACACAAATCAAAATCAACTTCCATCTTTTGCCACTAAATATCTTTGAGCGAACCAAAACAAGGCTGCAAAATGGTGCATGAAATTAGTGATTTAGAAAAGTAATTGTATCGACATAGTATCAAAATTGTAGTTTCATGCGTTCACACAATCTAAAAATGGTTTGGGTCTTCCGACTAATGAGCATGACTCCTAATGACTAATGAGTTGGTACCACTTGTGGCATTTGACTCTGAAACATGTGACAACCAGGTTCAAAGCATGCTGTCGAGAATAAAAAGTAGAAAAACAAGACATGAAAGACACAAGAGCACAATAGTAAAGAAGCTTAAGATAACAAAATGATAAAAGGCACCTGACAAAGATACGGCCGGAAGTCCCTAGGATTCTCGTCTATAAGATCTTTGAATAGTTTCAAAGCATCATCCAACTCCCCCTGCATACCACAGAAGAATGCTTTGAGACATGGGCGGACCTGATGTGGTGGCATGGGTGGCACGTGCCACCGTATTATTTCGCCGCTGAAGGGTAAAAAATTTAGGTTTGTTAACGGTGCTACCGTATCGTTTTAGAAGGTACTACCGTATTTCCCTGAAATCCAAATGGAGCAACTAAAACCCAAACAAAACAAAGCCAAAATAACCAAAACCATACTTTTTGTAATTATTTTTGGGTATATGTTGACCGTTTTCAAAAAATGAAGACGCGTCGGGTACAAGTTTAGAAGTTGTTTATTGGTACTTAGGGCTGTAAACGAACCAAACGAACATGAACGGAGGCTTGTTCATGTTCGTTCGTTTAACTTAACCAAACAAACGAACGAACACGAATGGTAAACGAACGAATTTTTTTGTGTTCGTGTTCGTTCGTTTAGAAATAAGGTGTATTCGTGTTCGTTTATGTTCGTTCATAAACGACGTAAACGAACGAATATAAACGAACGGACTAAACGAACATAAACGAACATAAATAAATATTATTTGAATTCAAAGTAAATAAATAAAAGATAATATATTAAACTTAATATATAAACGAACATAAACGAACGAATATAAACGAACGGACTAAACGAACATAAACGAACATAAATAAATATTATTTGAATTCAAAGTAAATAAATAAAAGATAATATATTAAACTTAATATATAAACGAACATAAACGAACGGTAAATGAACGAACAAGACTCTTGTTCATGTTCGTTCGTTTAACTAAACGAACAAAAAAAATAGTTCATGTTCGTTCATTTATTAAATAAACGAACTTTCCGCTGAACGGTTCACAACGGTTTGCTGAACGTTCGGTTCGTTTACAGTCTTATCGGTACTATAAAAACCATACTTCTTATAATTACTTTTAGATGTATATTATACTATATTAATTATATGGTGCCACCGTTTGAAAATTTTTCTGGGTCCGTCCCTGCTTTGAGAACTAACCTGTGTTAGAATGTGTCACCCAAGTTCCAAGAAATAAAGGATTGTCAACTTTAGTAACAATATATATATATATATGTTTGATGCATCACCTTCACAACATGCATTTGTGCAATTAATATTCTTATATTCCTTTCTTCTGGGACTTTTTCCTTTTGTTGAGCGATTTCCAAAGCCTTATTCAGCATCTCAAACACAGCCGGTCCTTCATGATTCTTGTGCATTAGCATAGCAAGTCCCTACAGAGAGAGGATAGCCACAGTGAAACCTCACATCATCAATATGTATGCTATTTCCGAAAACAGTTTGTTCTTTTCTCAGTCTAGTGAATCAGTGTGAGATGGGCAGATGGCAAGACATATTACATTGAACCACAATTCCATTCTATCTCTTTGAACAACCACAAAATTCATGTCGAAATGACCAAAAAGTTGATATAAAACAAGCTTTCTAACTTCTAAGATCATACAAGGAGTGTAAAATGCAAAGATTACATAAAGAACAACATCAAGAACCCATGGTTACTGATGTAACAAAACTTGGTTGAAACCTCTGAATCAGTTAAAGCCATAACTCACTCTAATCCATCAATGCTATTATATTGAAGAAACAGAAAAGTTCATATTTAACCAAAACCCCCCACTGAATTCATATACATTCCCCTGACAGAAAGATTCTTGTGATTAGATGGACCTCATTAACAGAAAATAACAGCTATGTAAGGCTATATGAACCATAAAACCAGTAACAAAATTAGAACTCCTGTAAAAGAAAATTCAAATCAAAATCCAATTCCTTTCACCAAAAATATCAAGGAGATCAATTAATCTTGTTAAACAAACGGAGGAAAGGATCAACAAGCATACATGCAAAGCTCTAAGCAAGAGGGGCCTCCCCTTCAAGATTTTCTTGAAAAAACTCTTAGCCTTACTGTATTCACCAATCATCTCATAACATAGAGCCTGCAACAGCCTCCACTCAACTTCCTTAGGTTCAACATCAATTAGCCTCTCCACATAACCAATAGCCTCTTTAGTTTTCCCTCTCTTCATCTTCAAATGGAAAACCGACTTCAAAGCCTCGATACTTTTTGGATTGTCCTCCACTAATCTCATATACATCATCTCTTCCTCGTCGAATGTACTATCTTGTGTCTCTGAGATTTGACTTTCAGTAGTCTCATTGGTGGGCTGTGCTAATACAGGCTTCTTATTGAAACACCCCATAAAAACGAATGACCCGACAAGCAAAACTACAATCTTTTCAGACACGAAATTGGTGATCCCTTTCTGGGTCGAAGAGGATGAGGTGATTAGGGGATAATACGAAATGGGTTTCTTGAGATAAGAGAGTATAGAAGTTGGTTTTTGGGAAATTTTGAGCATGGAATTGAAACGAAGTGAATTTTGAAGTAGTAGTGATGAATTTTGTTCAAGGAGTGTTTGAGATTTGGGAATTATGTGAAGGCGTAGGGGAGAATGGAGTGAGAGAGTGTTGATGTATGAACCCATTTCGGAGACTTCGACGGCCAAGTACCAGATTGGGTGACCGGCGAGCAGAAATCCGGTTATAAACCCTTTCGACGAATGACCAAACCTCTTTTCTAAAATTTTATTGCAAAATTTGTTTTGACTTTATTTGAAAATGTTTTTTTTTTCATTGTTACATATCATTTCTTAAAATTTATACTTCTTATAAACTAAATTTATCAAAAGTCTTAAAAATAATTTTTAATATAGAAAATACTATACATTTATGTATAAAGTCTTAAAAGTTTTAAAAACAACTCATAATGCATTCAGTCTTAAAATTTTTTAATTTACAATTAAAATAACATATAGTACAAGTTACCGATGAACACTATTATCTTTTCTTTTCATGTTTCCAAGATACTTTTGACACATTTCACTCATACATTCACCCTGCCGTTACTCTATGTCTTCTCCTCATCCCCGAAGGTGAGATTCAAACTGATATTCACCATGAGTTATTAAAAATTCTCCTATTCAGTTGCTCTAGAACTCTCGGTCTCGTTCTCGATCTCTTGATTCTTTAAATATGTTGGATTTTAAACTATCTTATAATTTTTTTTTTCATTGATAGATTGTAATTGAAACCGTAACTCTTATTTATTCAAATTATATTAATATGGAAAGACCAAGTGTAACTATATCATTGTTAAATCTTCTCTAATATAAATCAGTGAAACTTCAAAATCGTTAAAATTCGCGGCTCCCGTTGCATTGCACGGGTACACAACTAGTTTAAAATAAAACAAAAAGGAGAAATTATACCATATGCCATTTGGTTTGCTCAAAATCTAGATATGATCCATCTCAGAAAACAAGTACTTTAAGCTTTTCTATGGTTTGCATTTCGTTACGAGTTAGGTTCCTTGCCCTAACATAATCAACTTCAATCCGTTAACTCTCGATAGTTTGGTTTAGGAATCGCAACGGGCCGATTATAGGCATCCCCCATACCTAAAATCAATAACCAAAATCGTCCATGTAACCGGCTAGATCTCCTTTAGAGGTGTAATCGGGGATTCCCATCAGGGCCCCGCAGTTTCCTCGATCTTCATTGGGAATCCGTTAAGGGTAAAAATCTCCGTTTGCCGTTGGGTTATACTCGAAACCAAAATCTGCCCAAAAAATTACACTAAAAGTAAATTACAATTTTTTTGAACATGCAAGTCTAAATGTCTCTAACATAATCAAACCAATTACAAACAATGTCTTAGATTACAATATAAAACTAAATAGATGTTCAAATATTATCCAACTAACATCACAATTTAATGATTAGAAAAATAAACTAGACTTTTTCGTAGGGCTTATTTTGGGGTGTTGAGGTGAAGTGGATAAAAGTTTTCTAAACTTGAATGCTAGTATTTTTCTTTTAATGATATTATATATACACACATATCAAGATGGGTAGGTGATCACTCTCCCCGCCCTCGATAAGAAGTCTTCGAACCTGTCCCAAAAATTTGAACCCGCCCTCGGTGCCTACTTTGGTCATTTGACCCCTTTCCTTTATTTTTCTTTAAAAAAAATAAAAGACTTTCACACATGTTTGAGATTGCTTATTTGAAACAACTTAGTTTTTCTATAAAAACATTTATCGACTTATTACAAGTTAGAAGAGTTTAACTTCTTCAAAAACTGTTTATTACCGATTTGACACTGGTATAAGTTGTTTATCCAAACACTCAAAAGTGCTTATTACCGGTATCACACCAGAATAAGCCAATAAGTTGTTTTTATCTGGATAGACATTGGTAAACGACTCCTTAGTAAAGTTATTTAACTTAGCTCTTATATTTCAATAGTTACATATTGAATGATAATTGGCATATACCAGAGGTGGTGAATTCAAAACTTACCTCGCTAAATCTCTCACTAGACAATTAAAATTTGCATATCTAGAACTATGTTAAACTAATCAAACTCATAATAACGCTCATAGTTAAAAAAATGGGTTTTTTGTCTTTGATTTTTCGAATTAACATCTTTTTGTTTGTGTTCAAATTTCAATATTATATTTGTAATACCCTAGGATCCATATTTGCATATAATATCAAGAAATACAAATATACATTTGGTCCCAAATATATATACAAAAACTACATTATAAAAGTAACTACCAAATTTTTCCATAAAATCTTCATACAAAACTTGTACTCATAAACATCATGCAGGTACAAGTAACAACACATTATCCCAAAATCCATATGCAGGCAATCATGTATTTCTTCATAAATTCATTTTCTTCTTATCAACTGGTTGTCTGACCTGTAATGTACATTTTAGAACACCAAAATGAGGGTTAGACCTTGATGTCTAGTGTGAAGTCCCTTTTTATGCAATTACAGGGTGAATATTACTAAAACCCTTTTATAAAACTCATATTTGTAATAAATAACAAATATATATTGTTTTGACAAAATAACCCTCTTTYGCCACATCAAACCACAAAATACCTATTTATCGCATAACACATGAACTCAATGCTTCATATAACACAAACCATAATTTCCTCATAACACCTTGGGTGAGACAATCCCATTTATTTGCAACACACTGGTGTGAGAATCCATCTCATTGCAACACACTTGTGTGATCACAACACACTTCATTGCATCAAAGCCCAGAGACAAGACCAATTAGAGCCCCTTTGGTTCAATTATGCTCTGAAAGAAAGACTTCAGCGCTCTAAGTGTCAAATATGAAGACGAAGTCTGAAGATGATTTAGTCCAAGAGAACTTACTCATAAAGTTGCCTGGAACCAAGAGCTCGGATACAGAGCTCGGACATAGAGCTCGGGTACAGAGGGTATGAAGATTGAAGTATTGTGCGCAAATAGCCAAGCTCTCGGATACAGAGCTCAACTCCCAGACACAAAGCCTCTGCATAAAACATACAGAGACTCTCTGGGTCCCTTACTTAGCCCGTCTATGTGAAGGTTATACGGCTCATCATACAAGAGTTCAAAGGTTCAAATAAATAATCAAAAGCAAAGCCATTTCAAAAGCCACACCAACTAGAGGCCCTCTGGAGTCCTTCTGGTCCTTAAAACTGCATCAAGTTTTATTAAAGCAAATTGGCTAATAATGGAAGTCTGGTAGTCTAGAGATTATCTTCAGAGATTTGAAAAAAGAAGACTTCAGAGTTTGGATAAATTAAGTCTGAAAGGGAAGATTTCAGACTTCGGGTAGCCTAAGTCAGAAAAGGAATATTTCAGACTTATCTTCAGAGATTCACTTTAGAGTTACAAGTCTGAAGAGTCATTATTCAGAGTTATACAAATACACAATATCCTGAAAGTAATTCATGGGTAAAACTTGCATCATACAGAGCAGGACCACCCAACGTAAGGCCAACAGGGCCAACAAGGGCCTCCTGGTCTTACCAACCAGAGCCCCTCTGGTTTTAAAACAAGTTCCCACTTTATCAAATCAACTAGAAGTAAAGCCAACTCAAAAGCACGACCAACCAAAAAGCACTTCTAGACAACTAGAGCCTCTAGGTCAAGAATAATATTTAAAACACTTGAAAAGAATTTGGATTTCAAATACAACCAAAGGCCCTTTGGTTAAACATGAAGATCAACCAGATCCCCTGTGGTTCCTCAACAACTGTTCATTTATCAAAACCACCACTTATCACATCCATAAGATGCAACAACCCTAAATCCTCGCATCACACAGAAGTGATAACTCAAGGTCATCACATCACAAGGATGCAAAAACAACTTCTCATCACAACACGCAAATTTCACAACTCATGATTATGTCAATTTTATCTTGGTATACGACTTTCCTTGATATGTCAGCCTTATTTCCACATATGATATAATCATGATAAAAATCCACCATTTTGCCAATAATGACATCCAGCTGTTTTATTTCAAAATTCATATAAAGAACCATGTCGTTCTTATATCCAATTTCCAAATAAAGAAAGCTTTAAACAGAAACTCACCATCATGCTAAAAATAGCATCCAGAAACAGTTTTATCATCAATCCCACGTAAGAACCATGCAGCTCAAATTGCAAATACCAAATAAGGAAAGCTTATAATTAAAAACTCACATTGATTAACAAAAGAAACAGATAACATCAACAAAGATTCAAGAAGAATTTACAGAAATTATCTTCTACTTCTCCCCCTCTTTTTGGTTCTGTTTTCCTTTCGAACTCAAGAACACACATAAGCTTTTTCTTCACCAAAATTAACGAGACAATATACAGTATCTCTTAATAAACTCATTTAAACAAAGCATAAGACGGTAGAGATTTTTAAAACATTTAAGCACACTCTCCCATGAAATAACACAAATATCTCATATAAAATAAATATAAACCATAAGAGGCGATGAGAGAATTTAAAATCATTTAAGCACATAAACAAATTAAACCCCTCAACTTACCACCCTTATTTAAAATCAACCCTCTACTTTGCAACCGAAAAACCCGGTTATCACAATATTTTCCACAAAACATATAGATCTTCAAAAATAAACTCAACATTCAACTTTTGCGATTGTCGCTTGGTTAATTTTACAAATGAAATAGCACTGTAAATATCTTAAATCTTTTATTTGAAGAGTTGGTGAAAATAAATCTAAGACCCTCAAAATGTGCAACACTAATTGTAAACGAAAACAAATTCAAATTATTTTAAATGTATGTGAAAATCATTTGTTTCGCGTACGTTGACTGAAAGCATTATTGTATGCCTCTTCAACCTATTCAAATACATCAACAACAAATAGAAACAAATTAACAAAATGCAAAGGTGTTCTGTAATAAGAACTTCCTTGTGTATCTCCATGTCTTAGAAAAGAAAGCCCTTAATTTAACACACTTCTGGTATCAAGTTCACTACTACGACGACTTCTTATATGTTCTCTTGTTTACTTTCTCAGATCATATGTTTCGCTTGCAAGAAACGCAAACCATGTTCATCACAAACAACCATCATGCCAAAGATGTTTCCAAAACCAAGGTGTTCCTTTTGCAACTGTTACAACAACTAATTGAAGTTGATGAGCAAAACATCGAAAATAACATGTTGAACTAATTTTTCTCATATTAAAGCTTTCAAACCACTAACTTGCCACACATATTGTTTGCTCCATCATAACATTAACCTCTAACCTTTTTCGAACTCACTCTATATTCAATAAATAAAATTTTGTGACAGATTTAAGAGGTCAATATATGTCTTAATCATATGAACAAGACTAACAGATCTTTCTTAACAATCCTACATGCAACCAATTGCAAAACCTCCACCGTTTGTATTTTAGATATGTCATTAGACTCATCAACTAATAAAGCAAACACATCATCACCAAATTATCTAAAAAGGGGTTCGAGTACTTATTGTACAAAGTAATGAATAATATCTTTTTGAATACTTTGAGCCATAATTTGATTATTCCTTGGAGTATTTCATAATGTAGTTCACTTACAGACGTCTTCATTTTGATTTCAGACAAATTTTATTGTTTTCAAGAAATTTTCTCCATAAAGAAATTTTCCCGACTCATTGATAACCCTAAACTTTTTAAAGTTATTTGTCACCTTTTATAAGCCCTTTTTGACCCTTTTAATACCCATTTGATCTTTTCATCCTTCGTAGTCTAAATTGTTCCTAAAGATGAGAAAAAGCTGAAATTTAGGAATTTGTGAGCTGGTCCGCCATTGCGATAACAATGTCACCACTACAGTGACAACAACCTTAAAGATTATGCTACAATTGTGTTACCAAAATGGTTAAATCAGGAGCTGGCCTTGTCAAGGGTCAACCCTAAAGTATTCATGAATGAGTAGGATAAGTAAACAAAGAAAGTCAAGAAAAAAAAGGAGCAAGAAGACACCATTAAGAGGCCCCTTTCCCTCTCTCAAGTCTCTTTCAATTCTGTCTCCTCTTCCACCTATGTATTGAAGCTTGGGAAATCAACTAGAAATACTTGGACGTGGAGCATCAACTAACAAAAAAAAATTACGTTGTGTTTTTGAATTTTCTTTAATTAGAGCTAAGTTATAATTTGCTTATTTACATGTCTTTACCATTGTCGCAACATTTATGGCCACAGACCACAATGATGAACTTTATCTTAATGCAATTTATCTCTAAGTGTTTCTTGATTTCTATTATGTCTTTTCTTTTGAGCATCCAAACCTAAGAGATAATATGTAACACTTGAGTTTTACCATTTTTTGCTAATTTTTCGGTTTGGTCACTCAAGTTGAAGCTGTAACTCAACCGGGACAACTTGTCATTTATGTGTGATAATATTAGATCTTTCAGAGATAGACAAATTCGAAATACGGCTTGAGTGATGCAAGGAGGTTTGTGAAAATCTTCAACAATCACATAGCGATATGGGTTTTTGCATAACTTTCACTAAGGTGCTCGAAAACTAGGTGCTCGAAATGCAGAAATGGATGAAGTAGAGAAAAAGAGAAGGTTGAAGAAAGATAAGAAGAAGTCGACAACAAATTAGTTTACAAAATAACATCTCACTTTTTCAAAACCGTTCAAATTTATAAAATAAAATAAAAAAAGTGTATTTACGTGAAGAAAACACTTGTAATAAACCGATATAAATAATGAAATTGGTAAAAAAAATCATGAAAACAATATTTTTAACCAAAAAAAGTTCATCATTACAAAAAATTGCCGCCCTCAAGATTTCTTGCATTTAAACCCTAAATCAACACTCCAAAAATCTACAAAATTTTATTACTATTTGCTATCTTATTCCAACAAAATCAAACCACCGATCATCAGAACAACACCATCAACATCATCATCATCATCATCGAACTTACAACACCACTCAAGATTCCGGCGAGTTCCTTCCGGGCACCACTGATTATCTCCACCGGAAAAAGACATTCACCGTCGGAGAAATTCTGCTTGGTGATCTTTGCAGCTCCATTAAAATCACAAGCTTCCACACTTTGTTCATTCATCTGAAAATACATATTAAATGCATACGATATGTTCTTTCTTTCACTCAACTTGTTGCAGGTTGATCCATAGGAAAGACTGGTGCAATCGCCTAAACTACAAGCATAATCCATATTACCCTTCATCGATTTCAAATTCTTGATGTCATCTTTCAAAACACACCATTGATGAGGCATATACTTGACATGTTTTGCACCCACCGGCATCTTTTCGTTCCCTTGGCCGGAAAAATCAACTGGGTATTTTGGTTGGCCGTCGTACCGGAAAATCCCCCAGTGACGTTCGAAGTACCCCGGAGCAACACTCTTGGTGTTTTCGTCGGTTAAACTGAAAAGATAAACCTCGATGTAACCTGGGTTCAGTGGGGTTCCTTTACTCGAAGCTAGTTTCTGCAATAATCCATTGTAGAATTTCTCCGCCATTTTGGCGTTGGCTTGTTTATGGCCGTTGGTCGGCCACCCGATTTCTCCGACCACGATTTTAACGTTGCTAGCTCCGGCTTTCTTGAGGGAATACTTGAGGGTGTCGAGATTGGCGTCGAACATGTTGGTGTAGTGGATATTTCCATCTTGAACACCCTGTCCGCCGCCTTCGAAGAAGGCGAATTCCACCGGAAAATTGTCGTTTTCGTAGAGACTGAGAAAAGGGTAGATGTTGACCATGAAAGGGGAGTTGTTTTGATCAAGAAATCTTGATATTTTGATCATAACGTCTCTGATATCTGCTCGGAAGTTTCCGGCCGATGGGCCTGCGGTACCGGAGTTGTAGACGTCGGCGTTTTGAGGGATGGTGGCTTTGATTTTATGTCCCAGACCAGCTTCGTTGAGTGCTTTTTGTACGTTTTTTAGGGCTGGGAAAACGGTTTTCTCGAATTTCCCTTTGTAAGCTTTCAAGAATGGTTCGTTCCCAACGGCTATGTACCTGTAATTATTATTATCCACCAACAACATTACATACATCATGTATAAAAAACAAAAAAACACACACACATATATATATATATATATACACGTTTATATATATATAAATATTGTTGGGTTTACGTGAGAAAACATATTTTCGTGAAACCATAAAATAATACTTGAAACTTGAGAGTAAAATGTTGTGAAGGTAAAAGCTCTGAACCTTCACAACAAAAACACTGTCAAAATTACTCTCATAGTGTTTTGCTGTGAAGGTTTAGTGTTATTTAGACGGTCTCACAGATCTCACAAAAGTAGCATAGTCTTACATGATCTCAAGTCTCTCTCTTTCTCTCTCTCTCTCTCTCTCTCTATATATATATATATATATATATATATGAAGGTTCGAGTATCAAATGAAAAACTTATCAATTTGCAAGAAAGCGAGAAGTTCCAAAATCATATACGATTACTCATGATATGAACGCTTACTTATAAATAACTAAATACATCCAAAAGGGGGCTGCCGGGAAGGTCATCTGTAGCCTTATAATGTGTTGTTCAACGCAACATGTGTTTAATCATATATGATTAAGTATGCGTATCACATGTAATCATATATGATCATGATACTTCTCGTTTTCTTATAAATTGACTGTATACTTGTTTGAACCTCACTTTATATGTGTGTGTGTGTATATACACATAATAGTATAATAAACTCGGGTGTATACAACGCCACACCACAAATTATGAGTCCCATTAGAAATGTCATAATAAATTTCTCGAACGGTTTTTTTAGCATCTTAACGAGTTTTTATGACATTTTTAAGTAAAGTGTTTCCATTAATTCTTTAATATGAAAAAATGTCTTGTAAAAATAAATGTCCTATAAAAAGATGTGTTTGTATGATACTTCTCCATAGTTGTCGGGAATCAATCATTGATATTTTTCAAATGTTATAACTTAAATTAATTAAATTAGCAATTTAATTAAATATTAGAAATAATGTAAGAAGAACCATATTTACTTGCAACGAATTACATGAATGGTTACAATAAACCATCATGTAATTCATTATGAATATTCATTAGTTACTTTGGTTCTCAAAATATTTGACATACATATACATGTACATATACATATACATATACATATACACATACACATATACATATACATGTACATATACGTATACACATACACATACACATATACATATACAAACAAATGTACATACTTGATATTAACACCTCCATGATCGCGCAAATGATCGCTGACATTTTCCTTGACGTAATCTTGGACAGTATCATAATCGTCGCTAAACTCCTTAAGATTGAGGTTTGGGATACCGAGCGCAACTTCGATCCCCGTCCCAGCAAAGTGATTAACGGTCCAATGATCCGAATCAAAAAGCTTCACCTTCTTAATCTTATTGTCTTTGAGCATCTGAACCACATATTTAGGATCCAAAGGTGATGATGCTTGAGTACCCCAATTCACGCCCAAACCATTGACACATGTAGTAGCTAAAACCGCACACCACACCCATATCAAGACCATTGCTCGAGCCATGGTCCGAACCAATTTGTGTAGAGGGTGATAAAAGAAAAAGGTGAGGATGGGTGCACCAGATGAGTTAGATGGATCTTTGCAACCCAAGGGGATGAGAAATGTGGATCACAAAGGTGTTGGAGACAAATGTTTGATTCAATGAGGTTGGGGTCAAATGGATGGTGCTGAATGTCATTCAATAATCCCATTAAGTAATGGTATATATTAAGCTGGTGATGGTAAAATTGTCTGCATTATTGTCGGAACAATTCAGCTATTCAACGTAAACGTTCCTTAATTCAAGAATCATGCTCTATTCTTATCTTTTACTTTTGTTTTTATTACATTTAAAACACTTGAAACTTATCACACTACAACAAAATCGGGTTTACAGGACGCTCCCAATTTCTAAGCGTCTTAATAGACCTCTTTGTAGGACCTAGTTTAGTTTATAGGACCAAAAATTAGAGTGTTCTATCTAAAGGCGTTGTAATAAGTTTATATGACGATTTTTGACGTCGTAATAAGTTTTTTATGACACTTTTAATATATAGCGTCACATTAACAACTTTATAGGACACTATTTGAAAAACTGTCCTATAAAAAATTAAGTTTATAGGACACTTTCTCAAAAGTATCGTATAAAGATGTTAATCCGACGTTTTGTATTAAAAATGTTCTAAAAACTTGTTAAGACGCCCAAAAACGTCATATGAACTTATTACAACGTCTTTAGATAGGACGTTTTAGATTTTGGTCATATAAATTAAGTCATATAAAGCGGTCTACTGGGACGCATAAAGATTGGAGGCGTCCTACAAACCCGATTTTGCTGTAGTGTCACTATTGAAATCTAATTTAAATCAAAGTTCTAGATGACATGAGAAGTGATGTAGTGACGATGTCAAGTCTCAAGTCTTACGAGTTATGGTGATGTCATGACGTTTTCAAGACGTGCCCAATTGGATACATGTATATGTATATACATGCTTGTGTATGTTAGTGTTTTGAATAATCTCATAGAACAGTTTAATTAAATTCATATAAGAAAATAATATCAACACTGTAAAAATGTAACGAACTCTTTTGAGTCTCTACTCAATAGTTTCTTCATTCTTCAAAGAATTCTTGTTCAACTTTCGGTGTAATGGAACGAGGGTAAAGATTTACCTATCTAGTATTTTTAGTTTTTGTGTTTCCTTTTAATGTTTATTTAAGTCTTTAGTTGTTGTACATATGTATCCTTTACCCCTAAGTTTTATGTTTATATAAAAAAACGTCTTACAAAATAACGTGTCATAACGCGCCATAGGCTGCCATATATGACAAGCTATAACGCGTTACAACGGAAGTCAAGCCTCAGAATGGAGGCATAGGGGTTAGCATGGCAGTAAAGTCAAGTCTCGACGCATAACGCAACATAACAAGTTATTTAAAATCATGATTTGAATACATTGTCATATCTTGTTGGTATGATTCAGCAAACCAATCATAGTTCATAAGAATAATGATTTCGCGCTCTCTCTCTCTCTCTCTCACACACACGCACATATAGGTGGAGGTTTAAACGAGAACACCTCCATTTTACAAGAATGCGAGAACACCCTTATCACATTTGATAATACACGTTAGGGGACCTGTGATGTGCGGATGACGTGTTCTACGACTTAGGTCGCGCCAAAGGTTGTCTGCGTTTATGATTTAGTATCACATGTGACGGTCTTTATGGATTATAGTATTATATCAACAACAATCTTATCACATGTGATAATACTTGTGAGGGGGCTTAGTGGTATAAGGGCGACTTGGCCCGCAACCAATATCTAAACATCGAAAATCGTCCGTGTTTCTGATTTAGTATCACATGTGATGGAATAATAGTATCACATGTGATTGTCTATAGTAAAAGGGTGTTTTCGCGTTCTCGTAAAATGAAGGTGTTCTCGTTTGAACCCTTCCCTATATATATATATATATAGACTTGGGATCATGTGAGACCAGCCTGTTTTCGTGAGACCCGTGAGACCAGCATTTTACACTTGAAACTTCACAGTACAAATGCTGTGAAGGTGACTTTTTAAAACTTTCACAATGTTTTTGCTGTGAAGGTTCGATTTTTTAAAACCTTCACAGTGTTTTTGCTGTGAAGGTTCGACTTTTTTAAAACCTTCACAGTGTTTTTGCTGTGAAGGTTCGACTTTTTTAAAACCTTCACAGTGTTTTTGCTGTGAAGGTTCGACTTTTTAAATCCTTCACAGTGTTTTTGCTGTGAAGTTTACGTGTAAAAATGTGGTCTCACGGGTCTCACGAAAACAGGCTGGTCTCACGTGAACCCAACCCTATATATATATATATATAGAGAGAGAGAGAGAGAGAGAGAGAGAGAAAAAAAAAAAGGGCTATAGTAGCAATAACTTTTTAGGCCATAAATGAATATCCGTAGCAACAACATGTTATCACTATAGACCATTTTTAATTTTCGAAAATCAGTGTATTAAATATTTTATAGTGTTGACTCGTTATAGACTATAGAAGTGCGGAAAAAATGAAGTAACTTGTTGTGACGGACATGTATGACAATGCCTCCTGATTCCTTTTTCTTTACACATTTCATTGAATTCTCTTGAGGTGAACTCCCCACCTCGATCGGTGCGTAAGCACTTAATTGACAGGCATGTTTCTTTCTCAACTTGTTTCATAAAACACTTGAAGTTGTGTAAGATTTCTGATTTGTTAGTCAAAAAATACAACCAAGTTTTTTCTACTATAATCATCTATGAAGCAAAGTATGCACCTTTTCTTGTTATTTGAATCTGGACTGATAGGGCCATACAGGTCTCCATGTATGAGTTCTAAAACCTTTTTTTCCTCTCCAATGGCTTTTAAATGAAACAGGAGCACGGTGGTGTTTGCTCATGATGGAAACTTTACATGTATCATTTGATTTCCCCAAATTAGGTAGACCCATCACCATTTTCTTTGATTCCAATGCTTTCAAGGCTGTGTAATTCAAGTGGCCATAACGTCTGTACCACAAAGAGATAGTGTCTTGTTCTTGAGTGACATGACACTTTTCTTCAAACTTCTTAGACTGGTTTCTCCAAATAATATGAACATAGGATTAGTGCTAATATAAATTTCAATAATCAAACCTTTAATGGGATGATATATATTGCATGCTCCTTCTTTGATCAAGATTGCTAATCCTCTTTCTTGCAATTGACCAACACTGAGAAGGTTGTTCCTTAACTCTAGAACATAGTATACATCGTTTGTGACATGATTAATGCCATTAAGCATGATCTTGTGTAATATTCGGGTCTCAAGTTTTGATTAATTTTTTTTTGAAAATACATTTATATGTATATGTGTGTGATAGGAATGTGTGAAGTGTGTGTTAGTGATGAGGCATGGGTATAAGGGAAATAATTTTAAAAAGAGGGGGGAGTCGGCTGGAGACACCGCCCACCTCACTCCCTTAGTGCTATATATAGAATTTTTGAATCAGATGAAAGGTTTTTACACACTTTCTATAATAGGAAAGACTCATTCGTGAATCGTTCGGATTGGCAGAAAAATTAAGAAGAGAATTCGAAGCTAGGATATCTGATTTTCTAAGGTGAGTGTTTTATGCTTTGATGTATCAATTGTGGTATAACAATTGTAATTGTTTGAAACGGTTTGTTATATATTATTCGGATTACTACCGGTTGAGCATTGACCGGATTTCATTTAAACCGGTCAAGAGTTGACCAAATATTTTCCTAAACCGCCCAAGCGTTGTTCGGTTTAGAGTTAAACCGCCCAAGGGTTGTTCGGTTTAGAGTTAAACCGCTCATGTGTTGTTCGATGTAAGCCTTAAACCGCCCATGTGTTGTCCGGTTTAGAGCTAAACCACTCAAGCCGTGTCCGGATTACCACATTTTTATTCTAAGTCTTTGTCCGGACTTGATATCCAGACAGTGATGACCGGATTCCTTATCCGGCTAAAATTGATTAAAGTTACATTCCCCGAGAGAGATGAAATGGCGGTGTAACCGCGAGAGAGATGAAATGGCGGTGTAACCGCGAGAGAGATGTAATGACGGTGTAACCGCGAGAGAGATGAAATGGCGGTGTAACCGNATGAAATGGCGGTGTAACCGCGAGAGAGATGTAATGACGGTGTAACCGCGAGAGAGATGAAATGGCGGTGTAACCGCGAGAGAGATGTAATGACGACGTAACCGCGAGAGAGATGTAATGGCGGCGTAACCGCGAGAGAGAATGTAATGGCGGTGTAACAGCGAGAGAGATGAAATGATATGTGATAAATATAGATAAAACGCTTGTGATGTACAGGTTTAATTCTAAACTGCTAGTTTAGAAAGTATGTTATTTGTATGCGTTATGTACACTCACTAGACCTTTTGGGTCTAACGCTCAGTTGTTGGACTAACCGGTTTTGCAGGTCCTCATACCTCGCAGAATAAAGGAAAGGAAAAAGTTTAGAGTTGATGACATTTAGTTACTCATAAATGTATTAAAGAAAGTTTTTGTTAGTCCATATTTTGTAACAATACTATATTTAGTTTTTATGAGTTTATGAATGTGGATTATCTGTACGTGAAAATTTTGAGTTGTTACAGTTGGTATCAGAGCATTAGTTTAAGGGATCTGGGTATTTGCGAAATACTTAGACTTAAACTAGAGGTGTGAAAGTTATGATAATAGGTTTCACTTGGACTATGAACATGGGGAATATGTTATAGCTGAACCTATTATGAGAAAGGTAGATTATATATGACTGATATAATCTGAGCTGTGGATAGACTTGAGGATAAAATTGCTATTATGTTTTGATTATGTGAATAATCATGTGTGTTTTAATGTGACATAAAGAGATATACACTAAGAAATGACAGATAATCCCAATCAATCAGAAAGGACCTCTACCGGTTATGGAAGAGGTCGGGGAAGAAGAAACGTAACAGAAGGAGAGGACCCAAAACATGTAATGACAATAGAAACGCGAAGTCGCAGCAGGGGTCGAGGAAGAGGTAGAAGTGCTAGACAAGAAACTCATGGGGAACAGGAATTGTCGGCCCAAGAAAGTTCAATGTCTGGCCGTGGTAGAGGAAGAGCAAGGGGTGGACACAATGTTTCTGACCCCAGATTTATTACTCAAGAAATGATGGCAGCTGAATTAGGAAAGTTTCAAGAAAGTCTGGTAAATTTGTTGGGACGTACAGCCCAAAATAATCCAGAAGTGGTAAGAAATCCCGATTATCAGGAGGAAGTCGGAGCTAGTACCCCGGTAACTGGTACATCTATACCCCTTACCTCGTCCTTAGTACAAAAAGAATGAGATATTAAGATGTTTCTTGCTTGTAAACCTCCCAAGTTTTCTGGTGAGCGTGATCATGTTAAAGCCATGTGTTGGCTTAAAGAAATTGAACTGAGTCTGCAGGTTAGTAAAAGTGCAGAAGAAGATAAAGTCATGTTTGCTGTATCTCGTCTGAGATCAAGTGCTTTATACTGGTGTGAAGTTCTGTCAAGTTCAGATCCAAACATTTTGAAAACTATGTTGTGGGAAGAATTTATGATCAAGTTTAAAGTGTAGTATTGTCCTGAAGCGGCAGTGCGAAAGTTAGAAGATGATTTCTTTCGTCTTGAACAAGGAAACATGTCAGTCCGCCACTATACGAAAGTCTTTATGGAACAATTCCGGTTCGCTGAAGCTTACATCATATCAGAAAACAGTAAAGTAAGAAAGTACATCTGGGGTTTAGAATCGAATCTTCGGAAATATGTGATATCCAGGAATCCGACAACATTTCAAGCGGCAGTTGATGCTGCTGAAATACTGGAACAAAATATTAACCGGCAACCACAAGAAAGGGTTGGAGAGAAAAGAAAGGGGGAAGCTACAGTAACTGATTTCCATAGACCGAGGTTTATGGAAAATTTGAATCGAGTTTCAAGGTTTGCTGATAGGGTGTGTACCCGATGTCATAAGATACATCAGGGAAATTGCAATACAGAATCTCGAGTATGTTTTAAATGTCAGGAACCAGGACATATAGCTCGCGACTGTCGGATGACGCGGAAGTGTTTTACTTGTAATTCATCTCAACATGTAAATGTCGATTGTCCGCAAGCAAAGAGTCGAGGGTCTGGTTTTGTTGGAGGTCGGGGATCTGGATATTCTGGGGGTCGAGGATCTGGGTATGTGCCAACAGGTCGTGGGCAAATAGATAATCGTGTTAATCCAAGTGGACGGGGAGGGATAAGACAAGCGGAGTCTAATGCAAGAGGGAGAGCCTTTCAAATGACGAGAGGCGAGGCGGAAGAGCACCCTGAAGTGGTAACAGGTACATTCCTCGTTAATTCAATATGTGCCAAAGTTTTATTTGATTCGGGTGCAAATCGTTCTTTTGTGTCACCGTAGTTCGTTTGAAGGTTCCAATCAGGGCACTCATAACTGAAGTGCCCTAATTTGTGGCACTGATAACACTCAACAGTGTCTCGTGAGTAGTAGCTTTGTCTTCCTCGACCTCGGCCTTGACTTCTTGGTGAGATTTTCCATCTTCCTCGAGTTCCTTGTTTTTCCTCGCGCGAAATCTTTAGAGCCTGCTCTTCTTCACCATCTTTATCTCTCGTGAACTTTTGCTCGTGGACTAGGAGTGAACTTTGAAGTGCATCAACAGACAAGGTATCGATATCGTTTGACTCTTCAATTGAGCAAACGATATAATTCCAYTTCTCTGTGAGGGTGCGAAGAATTTTCTCCATGATCTTCACATCTGTCATATTCTCACCATAGTTCCTCATCTCATTAGCAATTACCATGACCCTGCCAAAATAGTCAGAAATCGACTCACCTTGTTTCATCATCAATATTTCGAAGGACCTTCTTAGTCTGTTCAGTTGAGCCTTTTGGACCCTTGCGTTTTCACCTTCATCGAATCCCAGAGTTGTTTGGCAGTGTCCCTCTTGGAAATAGTCTTGAGGATTGTTTTATCTATTGAAGCAAATAGATAATTTTTGGCCTTGAAGTCTTTCATCATTTGGTCTTCTATGATCTTCCTCTGTGCTGGAGTGCCATTATCATCTGGAATGACAGTCTCAATGACATTCCAGTAGTCTTTGGAACGTAAGAGGTTTTCCATCAAGAGACTCCAGTGTTCATAATCCCCTTCGAACTTGGGAAGGCAGGCCCCGATGTTTCCGTCTAAATTCATCTCTTTGAGGGCGTCTCTTTCACTCTGCTCTTTTCTTTCTTTGGCTGCGAAGTTAGGTCTTCAGATTAGGGCTCTGATACCAAATGTTGATCTAGCTTTTAGCAAACAATTGAGAACAACAATATGGAAATAAACTGACTTGTTATTAACTGGTAGCTAGATGGACTTAAATAGTCGTACAATACAAAGAGAAATAAAGAACGTGCGACCTAACAAACTCCAAAATAAACTGAAATAAATGGACTCATCCTACAGAATAGGCCTTTATTTAACAATCTGTTTACCAAGTAAACAGAGACTTGATAAACCTTACGATTACCCCAACACATAACTCATAAAATTAACTATTAATTTTTTAAAATTAATCATATTAATTATTATTATTATTCAATATATTTAATTGTCAATAAAAAAACAATATAACAATTGTAAAAATAAGTTTATAAGATAAATAAAGATTAAAGTTGTATTTTCT